AGTAAATATTACAAAGTAGTCTTTTCTGTATAATAGACAAAAGATTATATTTTTCTCTCACTCAACTATCAGTATTAGACATAAAGATAGCAATTTTGCAAAAGCATCAAATTTGGTGATAGAATTTCTTCAAGAGAATCTTATAATAAAGATGCTATGGGTTCCCACCAAAGTAAGTGACTTGCAACAAATTGAAGGTATATGGTGCCAAATTGATCCTGCAAGTCACATAGATTTACTCAAAACATTTTTTCTAAAGCACATTACATGCTGCAACACTCTTTTCCTAAGCAACTAATAAAAATAGCGCTCGTTTAACAAAATAACTATAAATTATCAAGAAACTACGAGACAGGGTAAGTAAGAAAAACGAGAAAAACGAGAAAAACAAAAACGCCAAACAGATTTGTAATAATAAAATTAATAAATATGTCAGCTTCAACCTCAGATTTGTGCTTCACCTTTTTTGCAGTTCCGTTTCATTTCATAGCAGGCTAAAGATATCAACTTTAAAAGCAAAATTACATCATTTACCAGTAATACTAAGAAAAGTAAAAACCAACCAAAAAGTTCAAAAAATTCAAAAACGAAAAATGGGAATTACCAATCAGAAGCAGTAATGAGAACCCCAACCCAAATTGGCAGCACGCCACGGCTCAAAATCTGGATCGCGATCGCGCTCCCAATCACCTCCTGAATATCCGCCCCGATCAGGGCCACCTCCGCCATGAACCACAGCACGATCCCCGCCCAGTACGGATACACCTCCCGGCAGAGCTCCGCCAGGTGCCGCCCCGTCGCCACCCCAACCCTCGCCGACAGCAGCTGGATCAGCAGGCCCATCGCCGTCGCCCACATCAGCAGCCACAGCAGCGAGTAGCCGGCTATGGCCCCCGCCTGGAGATCCCCTTCCAAATTCCCCGGATCCAGAAACGCTATGCTCATCAGGAACCCCGGCCCAGTGAACAGCCACAGCTTCCGGAAAGAGAACGGCGGCGTCGCGGCGCAATCCGCGGAGTCCACCTCGAATGTGCCGTCACCGATCGTGATCTTCTCGACGGCCTCGAACGCCGCCTCCTCTTCGTCGGGTTCCGCCGGCTTGATCGATGCGGCAGCGGATGAGGGGGACGCCGGCGAGGGCAGCAGGCGGAGGAACTCCTCTCGTTCGGAGGGGAGCTCATGGTGTTTCGGCGAGGATGATGTCATCGGATTGTATGTCGTTCGTTTTCGGGTGAGTTGGGGTTTTCGAGATGTGAATTGATCGGCCGGCGGCGGCGATGGGCCGGATTGCGGTGGCCGTTCGATGGCGGGGTTTGGGGATTTATATAGATTAGGAGTGGGGGAGGGGTTGTAGTGCGTGGACGCGTACGATAGATACGTTGTTCTAGCGGTGAAATTAGCGTGGGCCAATGAGAATTAGACACGTCAGATAATCGTCGAGGCAGTTGGAACCGGAAGGGGTATAGTAGTAATAGTACTCGCAGGCATCTCATTTGTGCGCGCACGGTGACGGCTTTTGCGGTAATTTGGCTGTTACTTCATGCTGTAAATTGAACACAAAAATCTGGTTTTGGAACTTGGTTGTTGTTCCTCTTAAAAGTTTTGATCCATCACCTAATACGAATGTTGAGTGAGAGATTAATTACAAGAATTACTCTAATAGTGTGAGGAACTTGCTTTAGTGTTGCGCTATATTTTTTGCACTACTCTAAAGATATGAACAATATTACGCTACATATTGTGCAGCATGCTAGAACTTTTTTTCCTTCAAAATTTAATTTTTCATTGATTTTTTAATTTTAAATATTATTTTGATAAAACATACATCAATAAAATTATTATTTTGTGAAATAATTTTAAATTTTAATTTTATAGTTGTTTTTAAATTTTATTTTGTACTAATATATTTCATGTAAAGTAAAATGCAGCGCGACCAACTGGAGACGAAAGTTAAATTTTGGCATCCTCTACTCTAGAGAAGATAGAGGATTAGAGATGATCTAAGGAGGCATAATTTTGACGTAATAGGATTCTATTACTAATACTTTTTAAAACTAACAATCACTAAATATGCATATTATTTTTTGTTAAACTATTCCATTGAATTAGTTTTCTTCAATGGAGAGGTTGTGACCATTTCATATAATATGTCTATTGTGAAATTTAATTTCTTAATATAAAATAAAAATATATTAATAACAAGACAAACATATTGAAAAATAAAACCCTACCCGTTGAAGATAAGTAAGCCAAAGAAATATAAAGAGAAGAAAATATCAATTGATCCAATCATCATTACCTTCATCTCAGCAGCAAGGATTCAGCTCACATCATTACCTTCTACTGTTGACATTGTTTGTTAGTGAGTGGTAAGAAACGTAGACAAAACGGGTGCGTATACGGAGTCGGGTGCCCAAGCCCTACTAGAAACGAGCTGAGAAACTAGTATGTCATCATACGGTCCCACATAGAACCGGCTCTGATACCTTGTAAGAAACGGGTGCGGTCCCACGCACGTGAAGCGCAACATAAGCATGGAAAGCCCAGGTGAAGCCTGTAAGAAACGGCGGGAAAAACGAGTGCGATCCCACGCACGTGAAGTGCACCATAAGCAGAGAAAGCCTAGATGAAGCCCAAGTGGGGTCTATCCCAAAACCAATTGATGGAATGAGGAGTAGCCCAGTAGACTTATAAATTTGGCCTATTTTTCCTATATAAACGATGTGGGACAACTCACAAGTGAATATTTTAATATGCCCACTCACTTGTGAGTCCTTAATAAGAAAGCACAAGCCCATATACGGAGTTGGGTGCCCAAGTAATATGCTGAAGAATATTCTTTGTATATTACTAGGCAAAGAGTGAACCTAGACAAATCACTATGCTGAAGAATATAGTGATTTATCTAGGTTCACTCTTTGCCTAGTAATATACTGATAGTTTTGGAGGATTTTCTACAGAACAATGACTTGGCTATTATCACCTTCGGTGAAGAAAAGGGTATCATCTCCAAAGAACAAGTGAGTGAGCTAAGGTGCATGCTTACTGATCTTTAACCTTTTCAAATTACCTTTGTTCAGTTCAATTTTGATCAAATGAAAGAGGATTTCAGAAATTAATATAAAAAATAAGAGAACAATGGGTTCCTTTGTCTGATCCCTCTGGTAGGCTTGACAAAACAACAGGTAGAACCATTTAAATTGAAAGAGAATGAGGTAGAGATAATGAAGGCCATGATCCATTTCACAAAACTTGACATCAAAACCCAATTTCAACAAGACTAATCTAACACTTTTTCACTCCACTCTATTAAAGGCTTTGGCCATGTCCGACTTAATTTCCGTATAACTCACTTTTCTTGACCAATGTTTATTAAGAAAGTGCATAACTTCTTGAGCTATAATGATATTGTCAAGGATTTGTCTTTCAGAGACAAAGGCAGCCTGATTCTCACTTATGCAAATGTGGAGACAAGATTTCAGCCTCTTAGCTAAGATTTTTGAAATGGTTTTATAGATAACATTACAAAGGCTTACAGGCCTAAAATGAGTGACCTTATAAGGAATTTGCAGCTTTGGAATCAAGGTTATGAAGGTATGATTTATACTATTCAAAATCTGGCCATAATAATTAAGAAAAAAGTTAAGAATAGAACAACAAAGATCATAGCTAATTGAATTCCAAAAGAAAAATAAAAAATGAAAGAAGACTGGGGTCATACCATCCAAGCCAGGGGCTTTGTTATGATCAATACTAAACAGTGCCTCATTATTTTCTTTTTTCTCAATAGGGGCCACCAGATCAGTGTTGAGCTCCTCATAGATGACTGGCGTGATTTCTTGCATAAACTGAGTTCTCCACCGAGTCCTTTCAGAAGTGAATATGTTGGAGTACAATCTTTCAATGCAACCATCAATATCTTCTTTTGTGGTGCAGACGATATTATCATCACCAATAAGTCTGGTGATGGTATTCTTTTTCTTTCCCTACACCGCTTGGGCATGAAAGAACTTAGAGTTTTTGTCTACTTCTTTGAACCATCTGATTCTTGCTTTTAGCTCCCAGAAAATTTCATAAATCTTGTAGGCAGTTCTTGCTTTGTTATGTTCCAAAGACTCCAGTCCATCAAACTTCCTTTTCCTCTCATCTCAGCTAAAAACTTGATAAGTTTGTATATTTTTCTGGCATTATCAGACTTAAAAGAACTGCTCCATTTCAGAAGCTCAATTATGGTGTTCTTGATTTTTTATTGCAAGATGAAGATGGGGGTTCCCATCTGATTAGAGGTCCAAGATTTTTCTACTATATCAGTTGCCCCTTGTTTCTACAACCATTTTTTGCCAAAATAAAATATTTTATGCTCAGACTTGTGCTCAGGAAAAAGATTATAATAAATAAACCATGGTCTGGTGAACTCCTGAAATTGTTGGACAACACAACATTTGGGAAATAAGAAAACTAAGAGAGAGATCCAGATAGCCTATCTAGTTTTTCCTCCAAAACCTTCATCATGTTTGTTGTTACCCCAAGTAAAAGGGTGGCCCAACATCTTTACTTCTTGCATGCCCATGTTGTTGAAAAAACCTTTGAAGGGGTGCAAAGAAGAATCAAGCTTGGTTTTCCTCATTTTTTTTTCTCATTGGAAGTGAGATCATTCCAGTCCTCGCCTACAAACTATTTACTGCCCATTTATCCTTCTTTGAGATTAGGAATTGTCATTGTTCTGACCTTATCTTCTTATCTGTGCTAGCATAAATAAAGATCTCCCAACAGGATAATGCTTTTTTATCCTCCCAAAACTCCACTTCAATGCAAAAAGAATGCTTGATGATTTGAATTATTTTCACGGAGGAGTTCCAAATCAAGAGAAGCCCACCACTTTTTCCACCAGTTCAACTAAGGTCGAATGAGATCCAATTGCTAATCCTACAAACTGTATTTACACAACAATCCTTTTGTTTTCTTCTTTCTGATAAGAAAGCCAAAGCTGGATGGTTGAGTCTCAAAGACTCTTTTAGTTGGGAATATAAAGGAATCATCCGTTTCACTATATAATTTTCATTGATCCTTGTGGGGCCATTTAGGGTTGGCCTTCCTCACCCTTTAGATTAGACTTTTTGTTTTCTTTTGCTTGAGGAATGACTGGATATTGGTTTGTTTCACACTGAGTTTCCTGATCCAAAATTGGTTGATCTGTTGAAATCATCTAAATGCTAAGTGATCTTTTTCTTCCTGTATTAATCTAAGAAACTTTTTCCTGCAACTTTGTAGAAGGAGGGTTGTTTGCTTTTCCAACATTTACTTTTGGTTGAGCTGGTTATTAGAGACTGGGGAGGGGAGTCTGGTAGAGAGTGCAATTTTTATTTTTTTTTTGATAGCTGAGAGAAGGGCTAAGCTTGATTGTTTATGAAATAACTAGTGTGTAGCCCGTGCTATGCACGGGTAAATAATACTAATAATCTCAACCTTGAGCGAGTAGGTTTCCCGCCTTCGGTTCTGGGAGTTTGGTTAGAGCATGATATTATTGGAGTGTCGTATCCCCGTCGAGTCCTAATATAGGCTTATGGTCTCTTTCATTGTACCAAAAATAATAATAATAATAATACTAATAATAATTATAAATTAAATATCAGGATAAACAATATTAACTATAATTATAAATTAAAGATGTGGGGTTACATGTGATAAAATTTACTTTATATAAAGAACATAAAAAAATTTATGTCTAAAATATTAAAATAGAGAGAAGATTTACATATTATATATAAAATAAATATTGAGATGATACTGAAAATTATTTCATCATCAATTTGAGTATAAAATAAACGGAGGCTTAATAACTTCTTGCTTTATGCATATGCTTCATTTATCAATTTTATATAATAATTTTAAAATCTCATTATCAAAATTTGTATTCAAATGTATAAAATAAACGGAGACTTAACAATTCTACGTTGCATATACGTCATTTATCAATTTTATGTAATGATTTTAAAGTCTCGTTGTTATTAAGATTTTTATTAAAACACGTATCAACAAAGTACACATCTTTGAGATTATGATGAAATACGAATAAATGATTTTTTTATAAAAGAAATCCGTATTTATTTGTTTTTGAAAATCAGTGCAAACTCACAGAGAGTTTTTGTTCTTAACAAACTCCTACAATTCTAATTAAATCATATTATTCCAATTTGAATTTCCTGATGGTTTTAAAATTTGTACACGGTCATAATCTATATCAAGTAAACAATCCCCATAATTTTAGAAATCAGTATTTATCTGTTTTTGAAAATCAATGCAAATTGCTTGATAGTTTTTTTCTAAGAAACTCCTACAATTCTAATTAAATTATATTATTCAATTCAATTTGAGTACGAATTTAAATTTTTAATTTGAAAATGAATTGAAAAATCTGTACACGTGTTGATAGTCTTTCAAGTAAACATAGTCCTATTTTTTTTCCTATTACTAAGTTTTTGATTCCAACAAATGATGTGGTGAAGATTTATTAAGTGAGTACCTATGATGTATGGATTAATATCCAATGTTGTAGCATACTCTTTTTTTAATTGTATAAATATAATTTTGATTTTTTTTTTTTCTGTTTGCATGGACGGTATTTATAATTAGTGCAAGTTAATTAAATGAAGTTCATTTTTTAATAAAATTCATTTATGTTTTTCTTTTTTTTACTAAAATAAATGATGAAAACTCGTACCATTACTCCTTAACTTTTGAATACTGCTAAATTTCATGTCTATCATTATTTATGCGGACAATTTTGTAGGAAAGTTATTAGGAAATTGTTAACATTTGAATTTGAATTAAAGATTTGCATGAAAATTATTAGGAAATTGTTAACAATTTAATTTGAATTAAAGATTTTTTTTTATTTTTTTTTTTCTGTTTTCCCTATAAGTTTGTTAAAGCAACCATATTTTATTTAAACTTCTATCTCTTCCTTATTTAGAATTTTTGAAATTTGTTTTGCTTGCTATATTTAGTAAATAGTAATTCTTTTTATATAAGTATAGAATTGTTCAAAATGAGTTATTTTGGTTAACCATAGTTAATTTTGAAAAAAGTGACATAGTTAGTTGTTAGTAAAATTTTAAGAATGAACTAAAATAATATTTAAAATAAAATGATTAAAATTGATTTGATGTAAAAGTATGAGACAAATGATTGGAAATGATAGGTAGTTAAATTATGTGAGTGGATGAATAGTGAATCTATATATATATATATATATAAAGAGGAGCAACATAGCATTTAATTATATTAGCACGCATTAAGTTTTATTATCCCTCCAAAATTTTCAACATTCAATTTCATTTTTAAGTTACAAAATAACTTGCTTGAATGCCATAAATTATGAGCATAAACTAATCAAGAAAGTTACAAAATTGTACTCAAATTTTAAGTCACATCACTCATGAAAATGGCCGGATGTATTAGCATAAAGAAAATGGTTGTAACGGCTCTTCCATAGCAATTACTTGATCAAAATCAATTTTTAGAATTATTTTCTTAATTCATATTTTTTCATGAATTAAATTATGATTTATTTTTATTTTTTTTATATTGTTATTTTTTTAAAGTATTATTCTCTGTGCAAATGCACATGTTGATTACTAGTTAAAATTGATGTGCTGTGTAAAAATAATTGGTTTGTATTATTTAATTATATAAATAATATTAAAGATAGTAAAGTTGAATTAAAGTTGAGTTAAATTTTGAATATGAAACAAAGTTAGAGTAAATTATTTCATAAACAATCTAAGCCCTATGACTATAGTTTATGTTCCTATGTTTTCCATTTAGACCAAGATATATTAAGAAGTTTTTAATGTTAGAGCATGTTTATTGGACTCGAAATAAGACGACCTAAGGTGCTTTTAGGGTGAGTTTCATATTTGGTTTGAGGGATTGGTTGTTTCTCTTGATATGTACAGTTCATTCATCTTTACTTTTATTTTTTTTTTCTTATCATTTCTTCATTTATATTTTTAATATAATATTTTTTAAATTTAAAATTAATTATTACTATATATTTCTCTATAAAAGTTACTATTTATCCATTCTCATATTATTAACAACTAATTACAGTATTTTATTTTGTTTTACCATATCATAATTAATTATATTTTATATTGTATCACTGTACTTAAAAAAATTATCAATATTTCATTAACTTTATTTCACCACAAAATTTTTTCCAATTGAATGAAATATTTTATTGGCATTAGGAGTATACTAATATGTAATAATTCCAATAATTATAATGCCACAAAAATGAAATCCGATTATATATATCTAAACATGTCATTCATCCTCATGAAAAGCAATTCAAATATAAAATATTTAGTAAATGATTATAATACTCTTCGTTTTTCCTTTCGATGATGTTTAATTATTTTGGAAATCAAAATTAATAAAAACTCCGTTGGTTATTAGCGGCATCCCGAAAACGTCCTTAAAAAATATCATCGAATTTCATTTTCAATTGTAAATTAGATACATACTATTAAATAATTTATATTTTAATTAAGAATTTTCATATATAATATTTCTTTTTGGTAGTCTGTACATGTGCTAGTTTGAATTATTTTTGCAAAGTACATGAATTGAAAAGTTAATGCAACAACCCGGGAAAACTCACAAATCTTCCAAAATTTGGAACTTTCGGTCCAAAAATTTGAGCACAATCCCGAAATAGTAAAATAAAAATTAAAAAATAGAAAAAAGCCGCGCCTTCAACCAAAACACCCTTATTTTTCGATTTGGGTTTCAAGTTTTTTCCCATCAAACACCACCACCCCGCTCGCCCAAAATATTTTCGAAACTCCTCTGTCAATGGCGGCATTTCATTTCCGCCGCGCTCATTTACAGCATATTAATACAGACAGAACCCATTTCTGACTCTCTCCCACTAACATTTCCGGCCATTCTTATTCTCTCTTTGAGTGGTTTTCTTGTGTTCTCCATTTCTACTGCTCTGCAATGGCGAACCAAGAGAATTGCGGGAGGGTCACTCGCCTGGCGGCGAAGAAAAGAGCCGCGCAAGAGGCAGCCGCCGGCGAGCAGAGCAAGAAGCAGAGGGTGGTGCTGGGCGACATTCAGAATATTCTATCCTCACAAAAAGATGTCCTGAGCCGGAAAAGTCAGGAGGGGAAGGGGAAAAGCAAGCCTAGGAAGAACTTGAAAAGAGGGAAATTGGGTGCGGATAAGGGGAAGAAGAGGTTGAAAGAGGAGAATGATCCTCAGATTGATTTGGACGGGAAAAGGGACGACCCGCAGATGTGCGGAGCTTATGTTTCTGATATATATGAGTACCTTCGCAAAATGGAGGTCCGTGCCAATTTATATTTGCTTTTGTTTTGTTTAGGGACTATTGATTGATTGAAGTTCACCTGGTTTGTTGATTTTGTCTGCAATATGCTCATTAAGTTCCTGATTTTAAAGATCTATAGCAAACCTCCAATGTATCTCAGATTTGGTCTGCTTCTGTTTGTAACTACTGATGGCGTTAGGGTTTAGGAATTGTTATTTATTTATTTCCTAGCCAAGAATGGTAGAACGCTCTAAACTCCGTTTATTTGTCGAGGGTTTATAAAAATTTGTCAATTTTAACACAGGAAGAGGCAAAGAGAAGGCCTTTGTTGCATTTCTTGGAGATAATTCAGAAAGACATAAATGCAAACATGAGAGGGGTTTTGGTGGATTGGTTAGTTGAAGTAGCCGAGGAATACAAGCTTCTTTCAGACACATTGTATTTAACAGTTTCCTACATTGACCGATTTCTCTCAACAAATGTCATTAACCGGCAAAAACTTCAGCTTCTTGGTGTTTCTTCAATGCTCATTGCCTCGTAAGAAATAATATTATTGACATTAAATCTCTGTATTGAGCAATACTTTTTGAGTTCGAAGTTTGCTGATATGTTTTGTGATGTTGTGGTGGCTTATAGGAAGTATGAAGAGATTACTCCTCCACATGTGGAAGATTTTTGCTATATAACTGATAACACCTACACTAAGACTGAGGTTGTGAAAATGGAAGCTGATGTGCTCAAATCCCTTAATTTTGAAATGGGGAATCCTACTGTGAAGACATTTCTTAGGTATGTGACTTGCTTTAGAAATTCTCTTAATTTTCTGTATCATTGTTGTTCAGTTAGCTAAAAGGGCGCATGCTTTTTTGTTTGATGTTGCAGGAAAATTACTAGGACTGCTCAAGAAGAAAATGGGGTATGTATTTTTGTGTTCAGAATGCAATTTTCTTTCTTTTTAGGCCATTGTGTAACATATTTGGATAAATTATGCCCCTTGTGTTTAGCACAGTTATGAAAAACTCTTAATGCAAATATAAAAACAGTAAACACCTTGGAGGTTTGTATTATCTTCAAAAGAGATACAAATCATGGTTATTGTGGTTTGCAACTAGAACTGGATTTCTCTGTATGTAGAATATACTCCATAAACAATTTTAGTGCTTGACCATTTTCACTATTTTACTTTTTGTAGTAGTCATGTATTTATTGTCTTTTTTTTTTTTGCAGCTTTCGAGCTTGCAGTTAGAGTTCTTGGGTTACTATCTAGCAGAACTAAGTTTGCTGGATTATGGATGTGTGAAATTCTTGCCATCATTGGTAGCTGCATCAGTCATATTCCTTGCAAGATTTACACTTCATCCTAAGCAACATCCTTGGGTATGACGTAATTTTTTTACTTTAGATTTTGTTTAAGGAAACAATTAAAAATTGATCAACCTTGTATATATATTTGAACCAATGAGTTAACTTTATACAGAGTTTGGCCCTACAGCGCCAGTCAGGGTATAAAGCTTCAGATCTAAAAGAATGTGTCCACCTAATTCATGACCTGCAATTGAGTAAAAAAGGTGGTTCTTTGATTGCCATCAGAGAGAAATACAAGCAGCACAGGGTTTGTACATATCTATTACTCTTCATGTTCAGTTTTTCTGTTTATATTATATACCTTTTATACTCATTTTTGTTTCTGTTTTCTCTCTTTTGTGCAGTTCAAATGTGTATCGACATTGTCTTCACCTTCAGAAATACCAGAGTCGTATTTTTATGATCTGATAGATGTCTGATTGGGGACAAAAGCTGTTTAAGCCTTGAAATCAAGGAGATGTACATAGAGCTTTCTTGTTATAGCTAGATGTGTGTATTTTCTTGTTTGACTTGGGATTTATTCTAGAGCAGGCTTTGTTTGGAGAGATCTTCTTCAGGATGAACAATATTTCAGAAATATTGTGCCAATTTTGCTAATGGGTGGTCTGTATGTATTAGGCTACCATGGATGTAACAAGGAAATCTGTGGATGTATGATTTCTATACTTGGTCACATTGTTGAAGGTTGAAAATTAAGAAAAACTTTGCTATTTTAATTTTGGCTTTGGCTTAATGATTTGTATTGTATTTTGATACCAGTATTATTGTTAATATACCATGTGAATATGGGATTTGCCTAGTTGAAAATTCATTGTAGTTTGCTTGATCGGGTGTGGTTTAGTAATTAGAGTTGTGGTAAATATGAAACTCCAGTTTCCCAGAGGTGTCCATTATAAACTTAATTGAAATATAATAAGAAAAATTATGTGTGAAGTGGATATGTTGAGTTCAATTGTGCAGGGAAATCCATGATATTTTTTATCCTAAGGATGAGATATTTTATCCTTTGGTACAATTGGGCATTCTGTTGTAAAACTATCGCACATGAGAATGCAAAATTTGCCATTCGAATATAAAGAGAGAGACCTATCAGATTTTCTCTAAGTTAGTAACCTCGAGAATTCAACAGTGTTCCTTAGCAAGAATACTCCTTGCTCAAACCCAACAGAGGATATGTGAGATGTTGGCAGGGATCAAAGCCCATAGTTCAACAAGGTACTTGGCCTGTCACTGGGGATAGACAAATCCAAAAGAGAAGTTTTTGACTACATTATGCAGACAGTAAGAAAAAGACTTATAAGACTTATAATCAAAGTAGTAATTAATGCTCTGACCGTTTTTTTGTAGTCCTGCTCCAAAAATCCGGCTGGAACTTGTAAAGAAATTGCTCAGCTTACTGCTCAATTTTGGTGAAGCAAAGGGGGAGATCAAGAAAGGGGCAGGAGAAGTTGGAATCTGGTCACTCTACCTAAAGTCGAAGGGGGGTTGGGCTTTCAGGATATCAAATAATTCAATGAAGCTCTCATTACCACTCAACTTGACCATTTGGTAAGCAAAGTCACAAAAAAAATTGTTGGAAGAGGAAACATCGTGGTTGTCAAAAATAGCATCGAAGGACAACTTAGTTGATCCTTTCACGAAGATTCTGCCGACGAAGGTCTTCGACAGATACGTTGTGGGAATGGGAGTTGGATGTTTGGCGGATTGACATAGGTCTTTTAGAATAAGGATTGAAAGATGTATACTAAGAAAAGCGAACACTTTTAAGTATAAGGGGGAAATTGTTAGTGTATGTGCTGAAAGCTTGATTTTATGAGTTATTTACACTATTTTCTATTAAATGAGACTCATGTTTAATTAAACAGTTCTTTGTTATGATGTTTAAAACATAGACAATTATGGTTCATCACGAATGGAAAAAGGATCATATTATCAGTTACTTGTAAAACATGAATAATTAGTTCACAACCTAGATGTAAATGAACATCCTATCGTGAACAGTTGTAGTGTCAATTGTATAATTTATCTTGACTGATTGATTGTACTAATACACTCTGTGTATTGAAGGGATCCCAAATATGATGAATTTGTTTTATACTGACCAAATACACGAACTAGATTTCGATTAATTACTTCATACTTTGGACCCATAAGATATAAACATGCACATGCGTACATTAGTTGCTACTTTGATTTACTACAAGGTGAGATTCATTCAGCTGGGTCAATAATCTGATGTGAGTTGGGTTGTGATGTTGTGTGTATAGTGTGTTGTTTGAATATTACGGTCATCATGTGCCTGAGTCTAATTATGTCCCCAACGTGAGCTCAAGCAGGATTATTATATTAAGTCGTGTAGGCGGATTGAGTTCCGACTTAATAATAAAGAAATGAATAGTACTAGCTTCGGTTTAAGTAGTCAATTAATTATATTATCAATGATTAAATTAATTAACGGATATTATATCTTAAATACGATCGAGTAACTATAATTGGAGCCTCAAATTTAATTTGGGAGCTAAATGGAGAGTGCAATAATATTTCTTCAATTGACCGAAATATTATTCAAATATGAGCAGAGTGAGCTTGACCCACAATTAGGCTCATACTTGGAAATCTCGTATTTAGTACCTCCTTAGGGTCCCTGTTGTAACATATAAATATACCACATCTCTTGGGATTTGAGAGACATAAGCATACACACATAAACACATGCCTAGTCTCCTATGAATCCCAAATCGAGAGATCTCCAAGCACATCGCCCACCAATACAATCGGAGACAGTGTTGGGTCATACAACAGAAGATCCGAGGTCACCCTAGGCAACCCATGAACCACCGCCACGCCGCAGGCCAACCGCAGTCGAGTAGCGACCGCACGCAGTGCCTAGCCGCAAGACACCGCACGCCACTAGTGCAACAACTGAGCGTCGCCCGGAATCCACGTATACTCTGGCGAGATCTGGCGATCAGAGAGCGATTGGACACACGAGCAAGATGACAAGGACGAGGCGAGAAGAATATCTCAGAACCGTTCGTCCTGCCTCGTAGTCGTATTGTAGTCTCTGAGTCTACAAATTTTTAAGTCGTAAGTGTTCTATCCATCCTTTAGATCTGTTGCGCTTAGGCTTATTTTTGTGGAATAGGTCTGTGACTTGCACAATACGACGTTCTTCATAGAACCCCAACAATGGGATACTATACCAGTATAGTCAGGTCGAGTACGACCTAAGAGCGTTTCGACCGGTTCGGGTGAACCGACAAGTCGGTTAGACATCAAGGACATCAGAGGTCGAGAAATCACCAAGTCGATGATAACCTAACAAATTAGATAGCTCGCCAACAGGTCGAGCTAGTGATCTCGGCGAGCCTGACGGAAACTCGACCTGTCGACCTATAGGTCAATGCACGACCTAATAGATAGACTTGATATATGAAAGTTAGAGCGACCTACTTTGAGGGAAACCGAGCAAATAACATAATTAGATTTTCTAATGAGATAGATTTATGTGAACACACCACATCTATTACTATGTAATACGGAGAAGAAAAAATGTTTGAAAAAATATTTCAAATTCCCGCTTAAAAAATTGTTTTTCCCCCTTAAATTTAATTTGAATTTTTTTCATCCCCTTTTTTTGCCATGGATTTCCCTTATCTACAACATGATTAGATTTCAAATCTTTTCAGTTCACATTACAATTCGATTTTAATTCGGGATTCAAAATTTGATTAGTTTTTTTTAAATATGTAAAAAAAAGAGAATCCCCTCTCTCTCTCTCTCTCTCTCTATATATATATATATATATATAAATTTGTGATGAGTTGAATTTTAAATTCAATTTAATATTAACAAATGTATATTTTATGTAAATAAAATTTAATAGAAAAACAAATTAAAAAGATTGTGTGGTAACATTTTTCGAAATAAATAAATTATGGGAAGGTGATTTTGTTAGCAAAAAATTCAAAGAATTTTGTTTGGGTTCAAATTTTGAATACGTGTATGATTAGTTATAGATAAACGAATCCAACATATTCTAACTACCAAAAAATATGGAAACACATTTCCTTATTTAAAAATTCAAATTCAAGAATGTGAGGAGTTGAATTTTAGATTTAATTTGAAATTAACCACTAATGTATATCTTATGTAAATAAAACATAATAAGAAAAAAAAAATTGTGTGGTAACATTTTTCGAAAAGTGTGAGGAGTTGACTTTTAGATTCAATTTAAAATTAACCAATGTATATCTTATGTAAATAAAATTTAATAAAAACAAGAAAAATAGAAAAAAATGTGTGGTAACATTTTGGAAATCTATTACTATTATTACGACTAAGAAAAATTGTTCAAAAAACTCAAAAAAAATTATCTTATTTTCCCGCTTCATATTCCCGCTTTTTTTTTCGTTTTATTACTTTATTCGGTAAAGTTTTTTTATTTTTTTTTTCATAATCCCGCCTACATTTCAATTGTAATTTATTTGGACGTATATCATAATCCTTTTTTTTTGAATCGATTTGGTAGGAATCGGATATTTCCTTTATTTTTTTGAAAGGGAGTTGATATAAATCGGATAACATCAATTTAAATTAATTAATTATGAAATTTCATTTCCTTTATTTTTTTCAAATCCGATTTATATTATATAGATAGATTTCACTTCCTTTTTTGGTAAGCGATTACCTTTTTTTTTGTAAGCGATTAACTTTTTTATTTTGTAAGCGATTGTTTCAATTAAACGTGCACTAAGATCGGGTTGACCGAATAAACAATTTTGAATAATATTAAATTAATCGATTACTATTAAATTAATTTTATTTGATTTTCACGTCTAAAATTTTCCAAAATACTATTTTTATTTTTGTGGAAAATGGCGGTTGGATGAAAAAGTCAAATTCAAATTAAAAAAAATTGTTATTTTGAAAAAGATATTTTGTAAACCTTAATTCATAAAAATATGGTCAATGATAACTTTAAATACAACGGGTAAATATGGTCAATGATATCATAAATTATATTTTATATTCGATAAGTTCAACTTAATTGATGATTTTGTTTGTTAATATTTGCTTAACTACAAAATATTTTAAAGTTTATAAAGAATCTCATTTTATGTAGGTTCTTGGTACTTTTTTATTTGTACATATTCATTTTTCATCCCATATCCAAATACAAATTTAAATGCGGATCTTACATGTTTATTAGAAATATATGTATATTTTTTCAAAAAGTATGACGATCATATAATTAATTTTATCATATATCATATGTTGGATGTTATTAGTTTGGTTGGAGACACTCATTATATTCAAATAAATAATATATAATTTTTCATATTTGGTATTTCTTTTTTTATAATAATAAGATGTTAAACATAAATAACTATGTTTAATATAAAGTCTTAGAAAAAGTTTTAAGTAAAAACCCCTCCGTGCAGCGCACGGGATACACAATAGTAATATAATTAAGATAAGGACATGTGGACTAACAAAATTGGGCAGTACAAATCGGTAACTCGGACACTCGAATAGCCTAATCTGGTAGTCTTGCACAACAAAATAATATCTACATATAAAAAGGTGAGATATGATAATTTACATTCTATACACTTTAAGCATTCCATACTTTTCATACCTTGTATACATCATATCTTTTTTCTTGAACACTCATTTGGACGTTGAAATTTCTACGTCGGGACTCGTTTGAAATTTGGTGGAGGTTGTTTGCGCGACCAATTTGGTTAAACATCTTA